AGTACAGGATCTGCCAATGGGGAGGGGGCAGGCAATCAGTAGGGTAAAGCTTGAAGGGCTTGCCCTCTGTTCTCCAACTAAGATAAGAGTGTGCTACTAAAAAGGTTCTAAGCTTTACAGCCTTTCCCACTTTAAAGGAGGATGCCAGGACAGCCACCAGTTGAGGAGGTGCTGATAAATGTAGATCTGTTGGTGTGGTTTTGAATAAAGGGAAGGAGCACAAGGAACCCAGTTCCAGTGAAGGCACAGAGACCTTGCCATACATGAACCTGTACTATACAGGAGTCCTGGGCATCTGTGATCCTTGGGTGCTCTGTTGGAGATGACTTCCATTCCTGCTCTGCCCTGCCCTTGTTGAAGGATTCCATGTAGAAGTTTTTGCAGGGATTTTTCCTACCCCCCCCCCATTTTCTCCTTCCAAGGCTTTTTTTTTTAAGGAAGGGATGATTTGGGCCCTAAGCTAATACAGCATTAAAGCAGCACAGTTAAGCAATGCAAAGGCAGGAGGAGTAAAATGAATATACAGCCTTAACTCTGCCCCCTTTTGTGAATGTGGTTAATACTACCCCAGTCAGGAATTGCACGTTATCTTAGGAACATACATTGAAGGCTGAAAAGATATGATGCTGTTTGAGAGAGAGCACCCCAATTACCTGAATAAAGACAGCATTGTCATGAGTATGTGCAGGAAGAAAGGGGCTGGATTTTCATTTCTATATTTTGCCATTCTTGGCATTTGGATGTTGTTCTATCTCAGGATTGTACCAGAATAACTTTTGCATATAACAAGGTTATAATTTCATTGAGGGATTTTGGAGCATGAAACCAGTAGTATACTAGAATGGAAGTTTTAGCATTAGCAAACAGTACAGAATTTGGCTTTCATCAGTGTGTTTTATACTTTCCCGAAGCTTGCTTTACAGTTCCCAAGCTGTTTTACAGCTTAAATTAGATACCTGTTATGGCAATGACTGTGCTAGAAAATATAACAGCCTTTATGTTCTTAGCAATAGCTCTGATGTAGCCTTAGATATGATGACCTGTTTTACTGAGGAATTGTGATTGTCAAGCTTTGAATATTTTCCAAGGGACAGTGTTGGGATAGATCATAGTTGTATAAGGAATACAAAAAATAGGTCCTTTTCAGGCTGTTCTTAGAAATTTGCTTTCCAAAAAGATCACACATTTCCTAAATTTCTCATTTTTTATCCCCTGTGTTGCACCACTGGCTAATATTTTATCAGCGATGAAACATTGCATAAACATAGTATTTATTTACATTTTGATAAAATCAGTAAGCTGGGGATGAAGACTCCTTTGTATGAGGACCTGTATGCTTACAATAAAAACATAAATATTTTGTTTTCCCCTGTAGCCTACAATAGTGGCATATTAAGAGAGGCAGGTAAATTTAACAAACAAGTAGGGGAAGACAAGGTAAGAACAAAATGATCGTGTTTAGTATAATCAGTAGCAGTCACAGCATACCAACTATTTAGCCACTGTCAAGTGTTTTGTAGGCATCACAGCAGAGGTGAGGTTTTTAAGGGGGCCTTTGAAGGAAGATAAGTCAGTGGATTTATGGTTTCTTAAAAGGATCTCCCATTTATAAGGGGCAGTGTGGAAGAAAGTGCAAAGATGCTGGAGGGATATGATTGGGCTAATTGGTGATGAAGGCTGGTATTGCTAGGGCAGAAGTGGGGATTGATGGCACAGTATTGTATTAGAATTGAAAGGTAGGGCAAAGCTAAGTTATGAAGGACCTTAAAGGTGAAGGACAAGTAGCCTATGTTTGTGTTTGATGTGGTAGAGAAAGTGATGGGAGGCACAGAGTGGGTGAATAGTCTTTTTTGAGGGTGCTGAGAATGAATGTGTTGATGCTGAAGCAAAGGAGGATTCAGCAATAGAGACTGGAGACAATCAAGAGCTGGACTTGTCTTTCAGCTGTGGATAGATGAGAGGGAAGAGGAGGAGGAGAACGAGCAAAGGACACCTTAACTATCACTCAGTTGTGCACAGGTGCCTATCCACAAACTCACACACGCTCAGAAAGCATTTAGAAAGTTATTTTGAAGCAACCTTGTAATCATCATTGTGGGGGTTTTTTCTAGGTTCTAATCCAAACTAGTTTAGCCAGGCCTGCATGGCATGAAGCACAAGTCCCCCATAAGCATGGTTTGTCTGAAGTAAAGAATAATCTAGGTATAGAACTCCATTCTTCCAGCACTTAAAACAAATCTTATAAGAATGGCCAGAAAATAAATGTTTCTTCTGTCTTGTGTTGGTAATAGGAGGATGCTAATCAATACAATAATAAGTGTTCCTCTTGGGGAATCATAAGAATTCAGGCCCAATTACCTTCTATCTCCTTCATGTTCTACTCTGTAATATTCACCCAGTGCCTGTCCAGTACATGGTTAAAGCAGGCGTTCATTTCCCTCATCATTAACCTTAGGAGATGAGATGCCAGGACCTCGTTTTATTATAATTTGCTGGAAAAATGATGTTCAGAACTGCAGTTACCTTACATGAGGGCATGGTCAGTTTGAGACAGAAATCTCTTTTCCCAAAACCTACCTTCCCTAGCTGTGCATATTTGTATCACATTTTTTAGCCCTGCCTAAATATATGTGCTCACATAAATGTGAAAATCAGTGCTCAGCTAACCAGCAGCACACCCAGTCTTGTTTTTGAATATTGGCATTATCTACTATCTAGCAGCATTTTGTTTAGTTTGACACAGCTTGGAAACATACCTCTCTACTGGACACCTGTTCAAAAGGAATACTAGCCTGCACCCACAGAAGAAACGTGTTTGAGGTGTTACGTGCATGTGCAAAATTCTTTGAAAGCTTGATCTTAAAAACCGTTAAAAAGTGTGCATGTTAAATTGAGACAAAACTGAATCTTCAGTCTGTGTTTTTTTCATATGTCCCGTAGAAAAGCAATTGCAATAAGACTTAAAAGCATCCAAGTTGGGCTAGAATTATTGAAGTACTTTGCTGCTGAAAGAAATATACAAATAAAATGCTAAACTCATATAATATTTTTTTTTTTTAAATAAATAAAAGCCCCCGGCTTATTGATGTGTGCGGGTGCTGCTGTCTGCAGCTCAGAGCTGCTTTTGCTCTTGTATCCAGGAGCTCCTCCTTTGATCTCCCACGGGTACATGTGCCTCTCTGCATGTGTCCCTTGCAGTTTCCCTCACAGCAAAGTTTCTTTTTGTGTCACCATCTCTTTTGAAAATGGTCAGACTTTTCTCTATTAAGTGGCATACTGCTGCCACTAGAACTCCTATACTTTTAGCTCCTCTCATCTTTCCTGTGAGATTTTTTTTTTTTCTTTTGGCCTCTTCTTTGGAAATGTCTGACATGTTCTGATCACAGTTTGTGTGTATGAAATTTACAGATTAGTGTGTATAATTCAGGTTACAGAAACTGTCTCATTGTAAAAGATATGCAGGTTATAGGGTGGAAAGCTGTCTGTGGTTTAGAAATTATGTTATTATTTTAAGGAAAATATGAAGTTGGTAAGAATTTAATTTTTTTTTAAATATTTTTCAGTTGAATCTCATACACACCTGGTTTTAAGGTCTAAGTCTCATATAGTTGAGAATCATGCTCTCCAGTTTGGAAGTAATCCAGAAAATGTATTATGTTGGAAATGAATAAGTATACAATGTGTGCATGTTACAGCTCAGAGGTAAAGTAAGATACATACAGAAGAAAGCAAACAGATGATAAAAAAGTAAATGAATAGATTTTTAGATATTTATCATACACAAAATGGTTTTAGAGCCTGAAATCAGGCTGTATTTGAAAGGCAACAATGTTAAGCAGGACTAATGTAAAACAGCCAAGAATTGTAGCTTTCTAAAAATAAAACAATTAAAAAATATCTAGTAGACAATATCACTACCCAGTAAACAACATGAGCAAGAATTTCAGAAAAGGCACAAGGAAACAATTGAGGAAATAGATATAACACTAAGGTTTTGCTTAAGTTGAACAGCTGTTTATAGAATCTCCAAACCCCAAGGTTTGTAAAATAAAGAAAAGATATACAAAGAAAAGTAAACATTAAATGTGCTACTCCTGTGACTTTGTTCTGCAGGTTCATTTTGTTTGCCTTAAGGAGATTTGGGTATTTTACTGTGTTCTAGCTCCTACCAGGGAACAAATATTTAAAATAAATAAATAAATCTAAAACTCAACCAAATGGAAGAGAACTGAAGTATACAAGTCAAGTATTTTTTCTCCGTGTTGACACTTTTTAGGACTGATTTAGAACCCCTTTTGGCTCAAGATGGATTGGCACATGCAGGTTTTAAAGATAATTCCTTATCATAATAGGTGGTAGCTTTTAGATTAGAGATGGGGTTTTTTTTTTGATTTGTTTCACAAATAAAGTAAATTATCATCAGAACCCTGATTAACATCATTTTGTAGCCTGTGAGAATAACCCTGCCAAGGAAAGGTGGAGTAAATTTGCTAGTTCATAAAAAAAAAAAAAAAAAAAAAATT